AAATTAACAAAAAAAATGCCTGTTTCCAAAATGAGATATAAGACATCTTTACTGTTTGGATATTATTGAACTTTAGGTCGAGAAGTTATACTATTTTACTAAAATTATATAATATTTAAATTATTATTACTCACATCCTTCGATGTACAATCTTCAAAACGTATCGCATATCCGACCTTGTCGCCTAGAGCGGTAGCCATCTCGTCGGATACTCTTTTCGCAACAGACATCGCTGCGACTCGTCTGGGCTACAACCAATTATACCATAGCGGCTATAGATAAAACATAATGAAAATGTGCAACAACATAATAAGTATCGTGAAGAATAATACCTGAGTACAACCAATTATACCATAGCGGCTGTAACCGTCCTCATGAAGATATTGCGTTAATTGCGTAGTTTTACCGCTGCCAGTTTCGCCTACTATTACAACAACGCTGTTCTCCCTGATAACATTGAGCAGTTCCTGACGTACCGCGAATACAGGAAGACTTCTCCTTTGATGCTGTATAGATTTGTACTTAGCTTCCCCCGTTACTTCTCCCGACCCTATGTGCCGGGCATATTTCTGTCCAGCTTTAAAGTCTGTTTCTTGCCCTGCATGCTCTTTGTCGTCTTTACGCCGATCGTGTACACCCATAATGTTGCCGATGTGCGTTCCTGCCAGTTCCCAATGCTTCTTTTGAGCCCTACGTCGTTCCTTTTGCTCACGATATGCTTTGACTAGTGCCGAACCTTTCCTCGCTACCAGAGCCATGTCAGAAGTGGGATCACGCACGGGTACAACTGGTTCAGGTTGCTTCGTGAACACGATGCGTCCATCCAAAAACGGCGGGACTACGTTGTGAACCAACAAGTGAACTCTTGCCTCACCCTCGTCATCAGGATCGTCGTCGTGATCTAATGAGCTCACAACTCCGGACGTTAACATACGGTTACGCTCCCATAATTCATTGTCTTTATTTATTTGTCTTTGTTGAGCGGAAAGGCGTTTCTGTCTCCTAGCCTCCAACTCCATTTCCTTCTTCCGCGTATATTCTTCGGACACATTAGCGAAAGCATTATTCTCCCCATCGTCCAATGCATACCACTCTCTGTCTAGTCGTTGCTGTTCCTCTTCCCACATTTCCTTCTCCTCTCCGTCTATTATCGGAGTGACACCTGAACTCTTGAAATCTTTGTTCCACGAGTTATACTTGTAGGAAGGGGTAAATTCGCTTCTGATACTATCGCGACCGTCTCTGTTAGTATACAGATTTGGTGTCGGATGATCCCAGCTGGATCGTTTTGGCTCTTCGTCCTCATCGTCATCCCAATTGCTCTTAGAAGTCGGATCTTTCGTTCGAAACTTGGGCGTTTGGGGCTCATCCTTGAATCTAAGAGGCGTTTGTCTTATACTACTATCTCTGCCTCGACTTTCCCTGTCTCGATCCCTTCGTCTGTCTCTGTCTCTCTCGCGACTCCTATACAAATTTCTAGAGTTCCTATCATCTGCGCTTAACCGCTGACGCTTGAGTCTAGACTCCAATCTCTGTTGTGCCTCAGAATTGACGCCTCCTGTATGTGTAGGAGTTTCCTCTTCGTAAGATCGATATCTTCTGTCCTTTCCTTCAGATTTGTTAGACTTGGAGCTGGTAGGATCCTGCGATTGCGCTCTTCTTTTTTGTTCCGCAAGCTTGTCAAGACCTAACATAGAAGGTTTCTTGAAAGTATGATCCGAGGTTTTCTTACGTATGATCAGACCACCTCCTTCATTTGTTCCAGATCCCTCTAATCTATACAAGCTCAGATCGTCTGACATTTTTCTTTTGATATATTTAGCTGGATCTCAGTAAAATATCTCCTAAAATAAAATAGACACAAATCAGGTTTTAAGAATTACTATTAAATAAATAGGATCTACATTGCATTTCATCGGAATTCTTACAACATACAATACAATGAATAAATAATTACGTTCAAAATTTCGAAAAGATATAATTTTTAATTATTAAAAGTAAAAAAGAAATGTTTTAGAAAATCCATCATCAAAACTAACCTCAACTTTAAACAGGTGTGAAAAAAACAGCGTTGTACAGAAAATGCACAGAACAAATGCGTCTGCGTAGTTACGCCGTCATGGAAGGAGTGAGAAAAAGTGGAATGAGTATTGAGTGGCGACCAATGGCGAGATTGGTAAGGTAAGGTTACACATACGCCATCTTGAGAGCTAAATAAAAACGAATCTCGAAATATAATCGATAAACACAACTGTCGATAGATTTAGTACAGATTTACCATATATATAGGGTGCGTTCTGTTACCCGCATGATGCATCGTTTATCTTTGTTGCTCACCAAATATTAAACAAGGACAATTAATGCATAATACATCTATAGAGATGTAGGCTGTGGTCCACTTGATGTTACGAATGCTTTGAAGCATTTTTTGATTGGTCAATTGTTATAAAATTCTTCCTTCCGATTGATCAATCAAAAGTTTCGAAGCATTTATAACGTCAAGTGAATTGCATCCGTAGACATCATCATATAAATATTATATACGTAATATATGTATATTGTATAAACGTATTAAAATTGTCAGAGTATATTTTACTATCTTTAGTCTTATTTAAAAATACGTAAAATAATATAAGTCTCATGTTCGGTAGGCATTATTATTCATTTGTTTTATCTTTCAATATTTTTCGCTTTTATAATCTTGTTTCAGTAACATTTGAATGTACGATAAGTACATTTATGATCTGTAAACCGGAAATCGATTATATATATAAATTTATTAAAAAATGAAAATTGCAGAAGTGAGTAAATTTATTAAAATATTTATAATTTTATATTGATCATTATTCAATGAAATTTGCTCACTTTTATAATTTTTATATTATTTTAAAATATTATTTAAAATATATAATCAATCTCGAAAATAAGGTAAAAAGTTAACGAATTTACTAAAAATTGTAAATATTTTAAAAATTTCACTAATTTTTTTTGTAATTTCTACTTTATTTCAAGCTATATATATATTCGATGCATAACTGACACCTTGATTTTATTGCTCATTCTTTCTACGATCTTTTATAAATTTTGTTATATTTCGCGGTCTTTTGAATACATCATGCGCATGCGCAAACGCGCCAGTTGCTTTCGCGCCGCACCGTAGCTTACAGTTCGAAGGAAAACGGAACTCAATTCATGATGTCTTTATCTCCGTATTAAAAGTAAATCGTGCAATCAATAAAAATTATATCACTATACAATATGACTGTGAAATCGGTTCATTATCAAACGGAACCGCAATGAATGAAAAATAAAGATCTGTATTTGAAGACACTACTCGAATGCTTTCGAATATAATTTTACGATCGTTGCTGGACCGATGTTAATTAAATAACGAAAAATTAGTGACATTCGAAGACATTATAGGATAATGTTAATTTGAACGCGCCCTAATAGAGCAGGGTATGGCGCGCGCATGCGCGGATGTTCTCGCGGCGGATTCTCGGCTCGGAGTCGCGAAGCGAAATCGTTCCCTATTTAGTTTTGATACCGTGTAAGTAATAATAATAAAAAAAACACACACCACGCGATTTTGGCGCGGGCAGACAAACGGCGGAAGTCGAGTCATGATGCCGCGTTAATTAATATTCGCGCTCACAACGTTGATTAATCGTCGCGATCGTTGTCCGTCGTACGCGCGTTGTCGCTCAGCGCCAACGTTGCCGTCTACCTCAGATCGGGATTGAAACTCGAAACACTATCAGGATTCCAACCTTTTTCTTAACCAACTTCTAGAGGCAGCATCCAAAATAATTTTCTAATTATATTATGTTTGAAAGTAAATTCTTTTAATCGGAAACGCGTAAGTCTATGAACCTGCCGGGTGAGATTTTAACTGTAATCGTGATACGTATGAATTGTGAATCGGATATCGGGAGTGCCATATGTGAATCATTGGATGAACGGTTGTTGCAACGATCCATCGGTATGTTGTTAACAATCATCTCTCTACTCTAGTTTCCCTATTGTCGAGTTATCGAGTCACTTTTTGTACGATATTTTTGACGCAGGAAATGACGTATATGAGCAGAGATCGTTGCTTTGTATGCACACATTTTACAAAATTTATATTTTTTAATTATTATAAGAAATTGTGGAAGAATGAAGAAAATTATAGAAGAAAAAATATAAAATACAATGCAATATTAAAAAAGAAAGATAGAAATGTAAAAATTTGCTTAGCACCACATTTGCACATTGTATTATAGTATATTATAATATGTTTTAGGATTTATATTCTGTAACAAGTAACGATTATGTTTTCATACAGTCAAATATATTATATTTTAATAAAATTTTAATGCAATTTTAATAATTAAAGTGCAATCTTTATATTAGAAAAATCGGACCTCAAACTAATTTAAGCAATCATATTTATAAAGCTAACTGATGGCTATATATACTGAGCAAACTGATATTTGATCTGTACAAACTGAACCTTTTGCCTTCACGTTGGAGAGAAAAAAAGGAAAGATGAACGATGCAGAAAGGTTCAATTGAAAAAAAGGAGATTATTTGTAGCCATTTTGACATCATCAACTTGTTTGTTGGAATATGAGTTTAATGGCGTTTGATGCAGCATTGTTATTTATATTTTTAATTATTTATTTTTTTTTTTAACTTTTGTATTTTACAGCAGTTATCATTTTGTTACAAAGGTTGAGCGAAAAAAATGAAAATTAATTCAACATTCACTGGTTATCTTAATAAAATTTTAATAAAATTCTATATACCTTCATATCTCATTGTCAGAGAAATCGGATTTAAAATTAAATAATTATATTTAGAGTTAAATGATGGTTATATTTATGTAAAACATGAATCTAATTGCGCTATTAGAGTACTATTCTTTTTCTTTTTAATCATTTATTAATTTTTATATTTTACAGTAATTATTTTGTCATAAAAGTCGAACGGAGGGAATTAAAATTTGATTATGCGGCAATATTAAAGTATTATTAAATTAGTTTTATATTTACTTCGGTACATTTTAAATTTTATGAGTTTCAATCTAGCCGGTCACCTCCGTAAACAGGCTTTTGCTTCGACGATTTATAATCGATGTACTGTTTTCTATAATTTTTTCAACAGGCTTAAAAATGTCATCAGTAGGTACATCAGTTACATTAAAATGAGTTGCAGAATTTTGCTGATTTAACGTTGATTTTGACAAAACTATATTTTCATTGAGACTTTCTTTAGCCTTGTTGCATAATTCATTATTTGCTATCGATTTTATGCTCATCGATTTTATGTCTTTCTTCAACTTGTTATTATATCTTGTCCAACAGTGTTTAAAATTCATAAAAACATATTTCCAAATGCACAGCTCTTCCACTAAAAAAATAAAATCACAATTACGAATTATTCAATTTTTTCTTGTCAAATCCATGAATGAAGCATCTCTTTAATTTCAACTGTACTCTTCTAAATGTCTTACCATATAAAAGTAGCGTTATAAACATAAATATTCCCGTAGACAAGTCCACATTGGGTAACATAGTGTATGCCAATCCGAAAAGAGCCTTTCCTTCGTGAAAAATCATCCCTTCAATAGTATTGATAAGCCATGGCAAATAAAGATATGGAATTCCATATATGTCGCCGATTGTTAACATCATTGTAGATATCAGTGCCGCAAGCACGTCCCCTATCATTACCTTAATTCTCAGATCTGTGTTAAACAAGAAATTATTTTCTAAGCATTATTATTATCATACTGATGTTAATTAATCTTAATATTTTTCGTTTTAATTAATCTTGTCAGGCTGAAGCTTAGTTACTGTAATTCCGGCGGAATATATTATTAAAAATCGCAGGTCTTGTTGAAATAGAACGAAATAAATTGCGTGAACCAGCTTCCAGAGCAATCGAGCTTAAAAAATTAGTAACAAAATACAACATGCCTAAATACAGCATCTTGATCTGAAATAAATACATATAAAGAGAATAAGAAATATATGTATATATTTTAACTGTCAAGCAATAATCACCAGTTGATTAATTGTTCAAACTAAATGCCAAAAATGTATAGATTATTTTTTGTATTCTCATTTGTCTTAATTACAATTTTAGTTGAATAATGAAACGTAAACATTTTTGAAAAAATAATAATTAGTGAATTAATACTTTTAACTACTAATTAAGTGAAACTAGAACTAGAACTAACAGAACTGGCCACTTGTTTAATCAGAGAATCAATGAAAAACTAATTATATATAATATTTACCTTGGAATTTCTTATTTCATGATCATCTTTAATTTTTGTGTCTGAACTCGATATGCCCAAGTCGAGAATCATGATTAATTAAAATTTTTTGTTAAATTTCCCAAAGATTTCCTTAGTTATTGTTGCATTGATTGCTTAATGTCAGCTATTTGATTGGTTATAGATCATTATACATGTATCATCCATAATTTGTCCGAAAGTTTAATAACGCAAACAAAAGACAGAGCAAACAATAATTATCTAGCTTCAGCCATATAAATCTCTTTTATGTTTTTTTCCATATGTATATTTCTTCTTGACTTTTTCTTATATTTCTTATATCTTATATAACGAGAGTTTCTAAAATAAAAATATCATATTTTTTATCTATACAAAAAATGTAATATACAATATTGTGACAAGTAAAATGTATAATATATTGTAACAAGTAAACTGTCTACTTTTCACTTTTTTTTTACATATTGCATATCATATTATTCGTATTTCATTTATAGTTCTTATTTCATATGTAGATTATATTTATCCTTTCTTTGATGCCACTAGAACTTAAAAGAGACATATATTTCTGTTTATATTTTGTTTTAGTGGATATCTTATTTTATCTAGTATTGAGATTTACAAAGTACAAGATATATAATACATATATAACATACAGTTGTTATGTCAAGGGATTTTGAATAACACTTATAAGTTCTCGCTGCTTAAAATCTCTGTAACGTAGAAGAAAAGACAGACGCGGCATCGTGTGCGGTCCGAAGATCCGCTCATTGTTTGTCTAATGCATATTGACTATTAACAGCAGATCCGTTTACCTTATAGGTCAAGCTGCGGCTACGTCACGTCCTTATTCGCTAAGCAGTCTCATCGCTCCCGGTTATCTTCGGCTGCCATCCATATTCGGCGGTCTCACCCATGGGCAATGCCAGTCGCATTCATAAAAGCGTCTACCTGTTTGGTGAGTAGAACGCATTAAATACTCGTGCATTAGGCGAAAAGACATCGCCATAAGTTTCAGCGTATACCTCACAATAAATAGCTCATTCGTGAAACTTCGTTTATCGCGAAAACATTGTTTATCAAAACCATCTAAACTCGTGTTAAAAAGATATACATATAATCGCCTGTTATAAGTACAATTATTAGTATCAAACAGAAGAAACAGAAATAAAACGATGATCGATAACCGGGTACATAATTCACGACCATCCGTTTTACGATATGACAGAATATCTTTATCGTAACTTCTCTCTTTTCATTTATGACAGTAAATGGAATAAAAGGAGTACAAGGAAATCTAAAAAAAGTTATAAAAAACAAAAATCGTAAAGTCAAAAATGGTTGAGCAATGAATTAAAAAAGAATTCTGTATGTTAATTCTTGAAAGCTCGTACATAAACAAGGAAAATATACACAAGCAAAATCGTTCCAACGAATATTTTTATAAATTATATAACATTCTCAAAAATTAATATGTTGAAAAATTGACTTGGTATTTATCTCTTTCAATTTTATTATTGTTATTAATTTTTCTTTATAGAAACGAAATACGGATCAAATAAAATGCGACCGTTATTGAGAATCGTAATAAAAATAAAGACAAACCTACTTAAACGGCATACCGATTACGCCGATCGGAACAGTGTTTTGCCTACGCGATATCTGCGAGCAAAATTTAAAAATGAAAAGCAACTCGATCGAAAGCGGCCGCACTCGGTCGAGAAGACGAAGGGCGTGTCGAAGATTATGATCGATCTGCTCTTTAAATTCCTTGCGAATGTCTGCCCCCGATATCGCTGGCGCGCGCTGCAGATTCCCGTCCGGCATCCCGGTCGGCCGTTTCGGCATATCACGCACCGTGCGCGTTTGTGGCGAGTCGAACGCAGACGACGACGCGTACACACATATCGGCGCGGCGCGGCGCGGCGATACATACCGCGTGCGTCGTATGCGCGCGAGGACGTGTACGGGGACACGACGAGTACGTGTCCTGCGAGCGAGAGGTGATCGAGGGATAGATGCAGAGAGTCGTGGGCCTCTCTGCTTCCGCGTGGACGGACAATCGCCTTTTGACGTGCGTAGCGACGTGATTAGCTACTTTCGCGCCCCGAACACGAAATTACCTTCTTCTCTGCCTTGCGGACTTGAAGAATTTCCGTGAAAAAATTCATACGAAGCTCGTATTCGTACCGTTTGTCTGCTTACGTTACAAGATCATCTTCAGTCTGATCGTAAGCAATCTTACGAGACTTGAATGAAACGATCTCGTACAGCATCTTCGAGACTTACTTGAAACGATCTCGAATGTATAAGAGCATTATAGACTATAAATATTATTAGTCATAATTCAATATAAAATATAAATAACGGTTTACTTATCTTAACAAAATTCTCAATGAGACGAGAATGTAACGCGAGCGAGATAAACACACTTCTCCTGTCTTCTCCAATATTTGTTTCTATCATTATTATTGTCATCGTGTTTGGCGACTCTATATCGATGTAACTGTTAATTTATGCACATGGACGATATAGATTTATAATAATATATAATATTGTTCGAGATATACTTTTCGCCGTTTCTTCACCAGGGCTACGGCACTGCTCACGCGTGCGTGTACGTACGTGCGTGTGCACGTCCGTCGAAGAAAGCTCCTCCGCGCTTGAGTAACGCTACGGGACTCTCCGTGAGTCTCTCCTCTCGGCTCTGGATGACCGCGGCCGATCGCCACTCGCATGAGCATTCGAATCACGCTGCCGGAGCGAGCACGTAACAATTTCTGTTCTTGGGACTGGAGCCACACCGGATCGTCGATCTTTTCGTTCCTCACTTCGACTTCGCGACGCGCATTCGGCGCGCCGAAACGATTCGACCCCTCGATTCTTAAAGCCTCGACTCTTAATTTGGGCAAGACCGTGCGCCACGTGAACGCTTCGTGCAACAAAGGAAACTTGAAAATTATTATACCACTCTGAAAAATTTATGCTGGCCAATTTATGACTCGAGCAGCATTACTTTGCCGCACGGAAAGAACAGTTACGCTGAAATATCTAAAAATTCAGCTGGATTCAAATATGAAAATATCGTTGTGCTTAGATCAAAATAATTATACAGGACGTTTAAACTGATTGCGAAATAATTAATTTGTTGGTCCAATAAAATTATTTTCAGATTTATAACAGTTACATTTTTACATACTTCAGCAAAATTGTTCTTTTCGTATTTGCGTCTCGTACGTAATGCTGTTGTACCACATGATAAAGATTTACTTTAACATGTGCTCTCTTCCATATTATATTTATTATACGTTTTCTATCTAAAAGAAGTAATGAAAGAATAACATGAAGATCAAATAATACGAATAAAGTAGTAAAAAAAAAAACGATTGAAATTGTCGCGAGCTGCCGCGTTGTTTTCTGAAATTTAAATGAACTTTTGCGTACGTCGCAATCTTACGGTTACGCTCACACATCTTTTCGTCGCTGATATTCAATTTCTGCAAAATCTTGACGGTTAATGCGATCATTAAGAGTCTCAAGCGTGATAAGATCAATCCTCGCGTGTCGCAATGCCGTTGTACTTTCCGAGGTGTCGGCCATTTGAGGCCAAAGTTGTCGGTTTTACGGGCCAACGTGTTTCAGATTTCGATCGATGATGACGACGTTTCGACATTCGGACTGCCGGTTGATCATGGTGCAAGATTTAAGTCTTGATTCATCGGCGGGGAGGGGGAGGTGGTGGGGCGGAGAGGAGAGGAGGGGGGGACAAAGAGGGGGAATCCGATTGATAGGCGCATCAGGCACACGCTGAATTCTTATGCTAATGCGAGAAAGGAGCCGAGAAGACAATACATCCACACGCGAACTCCCGAGGCATCTGTATACACCCTGCGTCCCGTATTCTGTATTCCGTCAAGTGAATTAATACAATCACGAGGACCGCCGGGTGATTTTAGATGCGGTGAGATCGTGTCCGCCACCCGATGCTTTTTATTGTGCTTTCTCATCGGAAAAGGAGAGAATCTCGAGCGAAGAAAATGCCTCGTCTAATAATTTGTATAAGGGTCCAGAATTACTTTTCGCTGAAGAGATAATATGCGGTCCGATCAAATCGGTTATAGTCTGGTACGTCACGAAAGAGGTATCTTTTCAGATGTGAAAATGAGAAATCATTTTTATAGAAGGGTTGAGTCATCGTCTTCACTCTTTTCTCGCAATACTGATTCAATTAAACATTTATTACGTTACTGAATAGCTGCGTGTGTAATCCGAATCTCATACTTTTAAAATCGATTTTTATGAAATTTAAATAAACAATTTTAATTAGCTCTTAAAGAAAAATTTACATATAAATCTTTAATGTTTTGATAAATGGAGTTTAATTTAGCAAATGTCATTTTAGAAAAAAAAATCACGTTTGCGTCTTTCGCTTTTTTAATAGATACTTATAACGTAACTCTATAACGCACGAAATAGGTCAAATCAAAGACTGCCAATGAATTCGTTTAAACTAATGTCCGTGCATGAATATGCAAAAAAAATCATTACGTATACGTTTCTTTTACGTGATCGATTTATTGAGTTGCTCGCTAAGAAAGTATAAAGCCGTCCCTTGTCTCCTTTCTCCTTCTCTCCGGCAGCTTCGCGATGCACGATACACGTGAATCTTACTTCCGGTTAGTACCCGAACATTACGGTATCGATAGCTTCCGTCAATCATGAACAGCACTAAATTATGATCCGTCTTAAATCATCTCCGCAATTTCAAAAGATTTTAGAAAATCGTTGAACAATTATTTTGAGATAAATTGATATTCATTTACGCGTAATATAAAAGTGGATAATAACATCGCATTAGTCAATTATAATTAATTATATAAACATATGAGGTTTAAAATGCAATCTTGTTAATGTTTAGCTAAAAGAATTAATTAAAATGTTTAAAAATATATCATAAAAGTAGCACTTAAACAGTGATTAAACTTGAAAATTTATCTTTATATCTATTAATCAGCTTTAGTTATTCTCCGATTAATTGCTCCTAAGATCCCCCTGTTAGATCACGAGTCCAGCTGTACGCATGTAACGTATACAGGGAAAATTAACCAC